AATTTAATGACATCACCAAAATAAAAATATATATATTTTTTTCTTTTTTTTTAATGGCAAATTATTTGGTTGATATTATGTTGAACAGGCAAACTTTATTAAAATATATTAACGTTTGTGTAACTTGGAACTGATTTAAACATAATAACAGTAACAAAACCTTAGTTTAAATACAAAACAGTATTCTGCACCAAATAAATAATAATAATAATAAATAAATGAATAAACGAAAATGTACATTAAGCATCAAAACGTTCTGCTAAAATGCCAATATACAGTAACAGTATATTGTATATCCAAAATATATATTAAAAACGTTTCCCAGTTGTGCAGCCAAAAAATTTTTTAAATTTTTTTAAAAATTTAAAAATTTAAAAAAATATGGTAAAATTTTTTTTTTTAAATAAATCTATTCTGCAGCACTTAATAGGCTACAAATAAAGTGCTTTCCTCCTTTATGCAATTAGTAGTGCTGGGCAACGATTACAATTTTTAATTGCGATTAATCGCATGGATTTTTTGCGATTAATTGCGATTAATCTCATTGTTATGGCAAAGTTCAATAATGAATTCAAAGTAGTGTATTGCGCACTTTTATTTTAAAGTACTGCTATATGAACAAAAGGGCAATAACATTTGGTTTGTAAACACTTTAAACAAATAAGATTCTTTTTAACAGCAGTAAAAAGGGGCCCTTTACACAGCAGCAGTTCTATCTCTTCACTATCTGTGCTCAGTGTGTGACTGTATGTGAAACGTTCCACTGCTGTGCAACAGGAATAAAATGTTTCAGCACGTTTCAGCAAAAATGTCTGTCTTCATGACAGTCAGAGCATGTGAATGCAGCTCTACTGTTCATCACTATAATGCTGTAACTCAGAGGTGATGATGGTTACCCAGCGATCAAAGAATAAAGACACTTTACGCACAATTTAGGTGTATTTTCCCTTTAACTCACGAGATGCAGGTAGCATGTTTTATACTTAATGTGAATATAATTCATACTTTGTTGGCATCTTATTCTGAAAACCGGATGTCCGTCTGAAGAAACCGGATGTTGTCTCACGTTAATCTTTCTGCTAACTTTCAAAGTCCTTCGCTCGCTCCCGATCTGTGCCGTTTGAATGTGTTTACCGTGAAGCATATAGGTGCACTAAAGTGTAAGTGTCTGCTGAGTTGACCATGGAGATCTGAGTGTCTGAGGCAATTAAAATTAACAAAATATTGGTGGGGACAATTGTGTCTTTCCCAAACTTTGGTCATGACTAGTCCCTATGGACCCTATGCAAACCTACGCCCTTGGATTATTTGCTTCCTCTTTCTGTGAACTTGTTGCACTGATACAGCCAACTGTTAATTAAAAGGACTAATGTTGAAATAAAGATGAGCGATGTTAATACAACTATGTTTCTTTTAGTGGTTGTGGATTTGTCTTAATGCAAATAACCAGATCAATTATTTTTAGTTTCTAAAAAGTAGAGTGCCAAAATCGCTTCATAGCTTGCTTGATGGCAACCGTGTGTGGTCATGGCATTAGCTATGGCAAAACTGCACATTAGCTTTTAATATGGACATTTTTACACATGCTTTTATGCGTTTGAAAGCGTGACATAAAAAGCAATAGAGTCAAATGTTGCTGATTGCTTTGTGTGCTGAAAGGTTGTTAAGGATGCACAATACATGCACAAGGATTAGTTAATCTTGCAGCAACCTTGGTCCGTCCTCAAGGCAACCCAGTTAGGGAACCACAGATCTAGGCTTTAAAACAATCTGCTGGTGGCTGAAACATGTTGGTTTAGACATGGGGGATCAGACAGAGCTGTGAGGGGGTCTGAAGGCAGATCATCAATCTAATCTCTTCAGCATAATGTCTGACCTGTTCAGGCAACAACCTCCAGGTCTTAAAATTGAAGCCAATGCAAAAGTATCTTCAACTTGAATTCTTTCTAATGGCCATCAGGGGGCGACTCCTCTGGTTACGCTCTGATTGTATAGAAGTCTATGAGAAAATGACTCTACTTCTTACTTGATTTATTACCTCAGTAAACATTGTAAACATGAGTTTATGCTCTCAATCACTTCATCAATAAATGATTATCGTTTAGTAAATTATGGTCCGTTTTAGAGTCAAATGGACCATAAAGCAGAGTATGCTCACTGTGATTGACAGGTCACTGATGCTATCAGAGCCGTTTACAGCGTCTCTACGTCACCCCTCCGCATTCCAAATATGGTAACTTCCGTTCTTTGGTTGCAAGAAAAAACAACATGGCGACGGTCGTAATCCAAGATGGCGAACTCAAGGCTTCAAAACAGCAGTCCACAAACCAATGGGTGACGTCATGATGACTACGTCCACTTCTTATATACAGTCTGTGGTTATTTCCGGTAAAAAAAAATACCTCTTGATTGACAGGTCCATTCGGGGAGTTGTGTGTGTGTTTTCATCGATAACTTTAACCCTTTCGCAGTGTGTTTTCAGTTCATGAAAGGTAATTGTAATGTTTTTTTTGTTCATCTACAAATGTCTTATTCAGTCTTTGGTTGTACTTAGCTCCACCCTCTCTGGTCCCTTCTGGTTAAAACAAGATGGCGACGGCCTAAAAGCCAAACTCGAAAATTTAAAATGGCAGTGCACAAACCAGTGGGTGACGTCAAGGTGACTATGTCCACTTCTTATATACAGCCTATGGGTTTAACCAGGTTCCTCCGGGTCTGTTCTCTGTTCTGTTGGTGGCACAGAAGCCTGAAAGAGAACATGAGATTTGAATGTTCAAGATGAATGAGCCGTAGAAATGTTTAAGTGTGCAAACACTGCTCCAAAATACACACACACATACACACAGAAAAACATTACAGAGGCGAGAAAAGAAGCCTGTCAAAACAGGATGCAAAGTTTGTTATTGCTTACATTGACCAATCTGTATGTGGGTATGCACATTTGTGTGTGTGTGTGTGTGTGTGTGTGTGTAGATGTGTGTCAGCCATCGTCAGTATGATGAGCTGATGACTGAAGTGTGTGTGTGTGTGTGTGTGTGTGTGTGTGTACAATGTTGCTGGATACCAGAAAGTGTGGAGAGAAAGGGCTGAGTGATGTAAAAGTTGAGCTGTCTCCTGTTTGAGACAACTAAGGATTAGAAACAGGAACCAGATCGCTTCTGACGCCAACATCTTGGTCCAGTCGCCTACAGATTATACACATGAATGCAGAATCTTTTTATAAGGATTAAAGTCAAACTTCATGCAATTTTCAGTCTGATATTGTTTTTTACGTGCCATTTTATTTCAAAGAAACACAGAATTAAGAGTTGTTATTTCTGTAAATCTACAACTTCCATAGTTGCATCAATGTCAGTTATGCTTGTCACTATTTTTATGTCACGTTTTTTTGGGTCAAAATCTTTCAGTCTGTGGCACAGGAAGATAACATCCTCTGTCTTAGGTCTGGAACCAGACAATCATGATGGATGAATCACCTCGAGAAAGAAAGAAAACTCATTTTGACAAAGATTACTTTTTTTTTGTGTGTGTCATCATATTCTGATGGTGGAAAGATTTAACAAAACTCTTGTTATTTACCTTACTCTTATTGCTATTGTATTCTATTTTGCAATGGTGTCAGTATTATGTCTTTTACACTTAATAATAGTTATTCTATTGTTCATATATGTTTATATTTTTATTCTATTTTCTTTTTCTTTTTCTTCTGTTGTAATCTTTAATGAATCTCTGGCACAATAATTTCCTTCGGGATTCATAAAGTTCTATCTCATCTCATCTTATCTCTTTAAACCGATTGTAAAACTCACAGTGGAAACATAACTTGCACAAACCGATGACACGTGTGCAGTTAGATGGGATCAACTGAAATAAACGACATACTGGAATGTACCTAGGAAGAGGCCTGTCCTCTTTTCTTTATTACTACTAAAGCATTACATTGTAATTGTATTATTTTCTAAGATTAAGTAAGATTTTTATCATAATACAGAATAAAGATAGTTGACATCCGATGTGGGGGTGGTAGTGGAAGCAAAAAGAAGGGAAAAGAAGCCCTATAACAACAGGCTTTTTACTAAATGTTTTACAAGCTTTGGCTTGTATCACACACATGAATGGCTCCATCTCTTCCTTCTCCAGCTGAAGTAAACTAAATAAAAGCGGGCAACATTAACAAAAGAGCCCCTGTTACAAAAGACCTATTCATATACTGTAGATTTGTTTAGGGTAGGTCAGCGACTTAAGTGTTTCCAAATGTTAGCGACAAAGATCAAACTTATTACGCAGTCGGCGTGCACTCGCACTGAGCCGCTCCTTGCCACTGGTTTGTGTTGTGAAAAGCCCAGACTTTACATTTCTACATGACAAAAACTTGTCTTGAAGCCTGTAAATCGCTGCATCAACACAGACAAGGTATGGTGCCACGGTGTTTCAACACTGCAGGTATTAGGTACAGTATCAGGGCTTAAAGGGACAATTGGACTGTTGAAAACCCACCCATCCTGTTGGGAGTCACTGTAAATCTAATCCGGCCAGCTCACATGAACGATACCCCACGGCCTGCCAACTTTTGCAAAGTAGGCTTCATATGTACGGACGGATTATTTTAATTGGCTAATCTGTATTCAAAAAGCTGTAATGTACCTTCGCGAGAGAGAAGAGAGCGAGAGAGAGGAAGAGGGAGGTGGAGAGTTGGCAAAGGTGAAAGCGGGTGAAGAGAAAAACAGGCAGAGGGGGGAGAGCGGTGATAGAGGGAGGAGGTGAAAAACACAGAGGAGTGAGGAAACAGTGAAAGAGGAAAGGGAAGTGATAATGTTTCCACCAGGATTGGCTGCGTGAAATGGGAGTCAGAGTGTCGGAGAGGGAGAGAGAGCGAGCGAAGGGATAGTTAAAGCAGCGGGAGGGAGAGGAGATGAATGGAGGAGGCGAGGGGAAGGAGCAGAGGTGTAGGAGGCGGATGGAGAAGCAGCATTCCTGACCGAGCAGTTACGGAACGGGGACGAGAAGGAGGTGATCGGAAATCCAGATGCCTCAAGGACCAGCAGAAGGGTCAAACTAACGCGTGCACACACACACACACACACACACACACACACACACACACAGATAGAAAGCGCTCCATCTCCTCTCCTGCTCCCTCTTTCACAGACGTCGGGACCTCGGTGGCTTTACAAATCAGCAAACATCCACGGGACTAAAACATCAACTGGATACTTTTTTGATGCCTGTTTTTCTCGTAAAACTCTTGAGACTTTCCAGCCTGCAGTGAGAACTGAAGGAATTGTTTGGAGGTCTCTTTTGTATTTTTATTCTTTCCCTTTTCTGGAAGAATTTCCAGGTGAGTGTTTTGTGTTTTTTACAATGAGAACTTGTTAAATGCTCCCAGATGCAAAAATAAGTAAATATAACAGAGGCTTATTGTTTGGTTTCAGGTGTGTGTTGGTTTTCGGTGCAGAGCTCATGGTTTTAATACATTGATGCTCATTTAAACACGATGATGCAATTAGACCAAACGTTTGCATTGATTCAGTGTCGTTTTCAAGAGTGAGCCGAAAGCAGCTGACGTGTGTCTGATGACTGATTGTCCCACATTTAGCCTTAAAGTGTCAAGTTGATTAAGTTGAGGTCGTCCAATGGGTGTCAAAAGGTTGCAAAAGTGACAGTTTTAGAGCCGCAGTTGTATTTGCGACGTCGTGGAATGCCGTCGCACTCTGAAATCGGATTTCGTACTGACATGTCATGCCGTGACGGATGTGGTCAGTGTCACGGGAACCCAACTGTTGATTGACTTGTGTGGAATCAGCAGGACACAAAAATCCAGTTCTGTTAAATTGATCAACTGTTTGTCTGTAGAAAGCTGTGAAATGGAGCTCGTCTTCAAAAGCTTTTGTACCTCTCTGACCTATATGTAACCTGTTTTTGCCGCTCCAGGCAAACAGATGCTCAGTATAAATACTCTTTAGGTATTTATTAGCTACACGCTGGTTTGTTTTTCCGACTAAAAGGGGGTCGGCTTTTTAGTAATAATAAGCAACAGAGAGAAAAGGAGAGCTTGCTTGACTTTGCCTAGACAGTGCAAATTACTTTAGGCCACCTGAGCGTCTCTCCGTGCCAATGCAGCAAGCCATAATAAAACTTTGAAAGATTTACAGCCCAAACTTGGAAAGGACTCCTCAAAGGAATCTGCCCATTAAAAAGTTTAAGCGATTAATTAACATCCAGTCAGAGGATTTTGAATCTCATCCAAATTCAGTGGAAGGGAAACACAAGAAAAAAAAAGGACATTTGTTCCGTATTTATACCCTTCCACGTTTTATAATGTCCATAAATAAGACGTCTGAAACTAAAGTGGACTGTTTTTACCTTCAGAAGTCTCTCAAGAATATAAAAACATCATGTCACTATGTAATACATTTAAATAAATGACCATAAGACAGACGTGGACAAAGTGAGTCAGGCAACTATGTAACTCCCCATGAATATTTTAAATATAAATGTTGAAATATATGTCTGTCATTCATAAACCAACCTCGACACGGTTTCGATAACAACACCCGACACATTACGTTGAAAGAGATTTCCCAATGTGTATATGGCTGCGCACGATATTAGAGACATGCATGAAAACATGTGGTAATCATATTGTGGTCTTCTCTTGACATGTGTTATCTTGAATAAAGCAGCTGTGGCTTGGCTGGCAGTCGGCGTAATGCTTCTGACATTTAGATGTATTGGCCTCAGTCAGACATTCTTAAAGGCATACTCTAAGTATTTAGGAGGCTGGTTTGGCTTTTGATCTGTTTTAAGTTTGAATTTATTAAGTATGGACACCAAAAATCTACAAAGAGTGGTCTTTAGATTATTGACCGATGCTGCTATTGAGCGTGGTTCAAGCTAGCATGCTAGCTTGAACCACGCTCAATCACCCCGGACTAACGAAAAACAAAACACATGGTAATGTCTTTCCTTACTGCAGCTATTATTACGATTACAGTAATATCTTGCTCGTGCAAGTAAACTGTGTAGCTGATTCGCAATCCCACCTGTGCAAGCATTAGCAATACAATACGGCAAGGTTTAGGGAGTCCAAAAAAAAATGTCATAGACACATGTTAAATCACATGTCAAATGCTAATGTACAAATTAATTTAACTAGCTATGAAAAGGAACTGGCCTTTTTTTAACCTGGCTATTAGGTTAGCATAGCATCGTATACGAACCACTTTCAATGCAGATGTTGTCGACACAAGCACCACACTGGAAACAGCTCAATGCTCAATTCAGTTAAATTCTAACGAAAACTATTTGCTATGAAAGTACGATTGCCAGCTGTTTCAATGAAAGCATTTGGCAGTCGTTCTTGCAATGTTAAGATGATAAGGGCCAAAGGCCATTTAGCTCTATTGTACAGGGGTGGTTGCCCAAGTCTATAGGAAGTCCATAGACTATATATAAGAAGTGGACGTAGTCATCATGACGTCACCAATGGGTTTGTGGACTGTCGTTTTGAAGCATTGAGTTCGGCGATTTCGCCGTTGCCATCTTGGATTACGGCCTTCACCATCTGTTTTTGCAGCCAGTTAATGGAATGCCATATTTGTAATGGAGGGACTTAGAGACGCCGTATACGGCTCTGGTAGCAGCGGCAACCTGTCAATCACAGTAAGCCCGCTCTCCATAATTTACTAAATTCTCATAATGCGGGATTGAAGAAGTCTTGAAACTAGCGTTTGAGACCATAAACTCATGTTTACAATATTTACTGAGGGAGTAAAGCAAGTGGGAAGTAGAGTCATTTTCTCATAGACTTCTATACAATCTAAATACTTTTTGCAACCGGAGGAGTCGTCCTCTGCTGTTGCCCCCTTAGGAAATCTCAAAACCATGGCCAGTTTGTTTGTTTACATGGCAAGTAGCTTATGATGCAATTTTAGGCCTCCCTCAAATTGAACTTCAACATTAACTATATTGAGTTAGATTTTTGACCAAATAAGAAATCCAAAACGTTTTACTACCAAAATATTACGCTCCCTTTTGTTTTTTGCTCCATATAATCCTGCTATTATTCAACCCATTGAAGTCTAAAGTGTGGGCTAAAGATCCACGAGGAGGTTTTCTTCTCTATGTTGTCGACCACAATTTCTGCCCAACATTCATTTATTTAATTTACCATTTATTTTCTTTGTCAGTGTGACTTTGACTCCCTGCATAGTTCAGTCACTGATTGTGTTTCAAAATACACCACAGAAGAAGACGTAAAGAAAGCCCATATAGAAAAGAAACAAAGGAGTGAAGGATGTGTCTTGGCAGGACACCACTGTGTGCCAATGAGCATATCATTTTGATAAGCAGGAGGTTTGATAGTACAGTGCTCTGGCTCCTTCACTGGATGTACTTGATCTCTGTCAGGTGAGAGTCTGGCATTGGTACTAAGTGATTTCATTGTATAGAGACACCCTTTTCTCATCTCCCCAACTCTCCTCATCTGTTTTCTCTTGCTCTTCTTCTCTCCTCTATCATACCTCCCTTTCCCTTACTCTTTCCAACTTCTCTGTTTTTACCCCTCTCCCCTTATTTCCTTTCCTGTCTCTCCTGTCTCCAAAGTGCTAACACAGGAGAACTGGCAAAGCCATTAGGGGAAAGCAGGAGCAGAGAAACCAACTGGCTGACAGCGTTTACCTGTGATCATCATAACCCTCGATACTGGAGACCGACTGAACGGACACCTTTATTGCTCTGTAAAGTTAAAGGTAGAAGATGTCGCAGCAACAGGTTTTCAGTCTTACCTGAGACATATTATGTGCAGGTCACTGAACAGCTGTGTGCAACACCTAATAAAATGCATCCAATATCCGTTCTACATGTCATTTGAATTATAGACCTGACGACCACGTTTTTACAGACAATCTGGGACATTCTTTGTGAGCCATAGGTATAGTATATCTGTATAATGTCAGATACTGGCTTTTGAACAATGTTAAGCATGAATTTTTATGATCTTGGACACAAGGTGGCAAAGTCATTGAGACCCGAAGGCACACGTTCAAGCTGCTGGAGTGTCGACCCCAACAATGAGCCTCTGCTCTCTAGTTGACCCTGACCTCTGACCTCCCTGTGGAGGATGCAAGAGGAGAGGATTTCCGTGGATCAATAAAGGATTATTATCACATACATACCATCGGCTAATGTATATATTTTGAGTGTGAAAGTTCATTCTTGACCCTGTAGAGAGGCAAAATAATCGGTGCACTAATCTTTATTTTAGAGTAACAATGGTTAAAATTACTACATTATTGTGAAAGGTGTTTTCTGCAGCTCCCCCTCAGCTTTTTCTTTACGGGGAGACAACGGGTTTCAAGCTTGTTTACGCTGCCCCCCAATTGGCGGAATCAGTTAATCCAGGTTAGCTTTTTTTCTAGACATTTCAGTTGCGTGTCATGGCCATCTGCTAACAAAGACCAGGACCACTTAGTAAGTGGACCTTGAGTTAAGATTATCAGATTGTCTCGGTGAATCCTATACTTTGGTCCAGACTGACATTTATCAACTATTGGATTTATTGCAATGAAATTTTGTGCACACATTCATGTCACCCTCAGGAGGAATTGTAATTATTTTGTAGAGCCCCCTGCCTTTTGATCCAGTGCCATCATCAGGTCAACATTTCAATTTGTCCAATACTTTGATTAATGACCAAGTATCTGTCAAACCAATGACAGCCTCAGCTTTACTGTGTCTTTAGTACTAATTAGCAGACTAAGATGTTGAACACGGCTTCTACCTTGTTGACACCAAGTACCAAAGTAACTGTTGCATTTTTAATTCTTTTCACCAGTTGTCACTTGTTACAATCTGAAGATGATGCTTCTGCTGGAAACAATAGACTGCTGTCACCGCCTTTTTTAAAGACACTTAAAAGCTTCAAAATTCACGAGAGGGGCATCTGACTTATATTTAAGACATTAAAATCTCAAAACATTGTGTTAACCACACATCATATTTCAACCATCCAAAAATCCATTGACTTCAAGACGAGGGAACCGAAAGTCCAAAAATGTTAACTCATTTCGGGTTGTAGGCGTTATTAGATCTTAACTGTCACCTCTGAAATCAGAGGACCATACTATACAGTTAATGTGTTCCTCAGATCAAGGAGCGTGAATATCAATAGCATATCAAGATCCAGGTCAAACTTTAGGGCATCCTCCTCCTGTCTTCCTGTCACAAATGTCACACACACACACACACACACACACATACACACACACACACACACACACACACACACACACAGCTGTTAGGTGAATTAGCCTCCCTGTGAGGAGAGAATACAGAGATAGAAGTGGAAACCAGAAACCCCCAAACTGGCCTCTAATGACTTCAAAATATGTATGTGTGTTGATTGGTACCTGGGGGGGGTCTGTAATTGGTATGTAAGCCCCTCAAAGCAGCGTGTTAACATTTAAACCAACATAGTGAGCGCCAAACCACCTGGCACTGTAGCAAACCACAACTGCCAATGTTAAGTGCTTGTTTTCCACCCTACACTCTATTGTATTGTGTGTGGCAGTAATTTGAGCTAAAAGAGCTCAAATCGACACATATTTCCTCATTTGGAACATGATTATGTTGGATAGAAGAGGATTTACTCTCTGCTGAGTCCCCTCGGGGAAAGGTGTAGTGAAGACAGGCATGAGTTAATCCGGTGTCAAAATCTCTCTGATGTGTTGTATCAACCTCGAGGGCGAATACTTTGGTGTAAATATTGCTGCTCCAGTCATCAGCTTACTCAGCCATGGATTGTTTTTTGTCACAGCTCTCACTTTCTCTTCATTCTCAGACACTTGCTATCATGTGGATTCTCTTTCTCTGTTTCTTTTGTCTTTCTTTCTTTTCCTCTCTCTCCTTCTTCCTTTCTTTCTATCGCTCCTTCTTTCTCTCATTCTGTCTATCTCTGTCTTTCCTTCATCTTAACATTTGCGGGTGTACCAGCTTGGGCATGTGTAAAGTGATTAACGTTCTGCAGTTCTGCGAGTCATTATGATAATTTTCACTTTCATTAGTCTTGCCAAAGCTAAAGAATACATCTGAGAGTTAGTTATTGCTGTTTCAAGAACTCATCTTGTATCAAAGGTTAAAAAAGATGAAGCTGAATATATATACCATATGTGTGTCTGTGCTCTAAAAGCTATGTGTATGCTATTGGAGCACTTACCCGTCGTTAATATCTAAAGATATTTACTTGCATAATGGTAAACGTGGATCACATGACTACTTTTAAGTGAAAGGCGTTGCTCGTAGTGATAAACCCATACACAATTATCCCCCAAGTCCCTCAACTCTATGAGGATTTTTAGCCTCTTTTAGCTCCTTGTTTTGGTTTTAAAGCCTGCTACTCTCCTGTTCTGGTTCAAAGTTAGCGATAAGCTGGTGAATATAGTGGAGCATTTAGCAGCTGTTCAGCTATTTCCGAGAGAGATGTCGGACACCAAACAAAACGCAAATGACTGTAATCCAAATTACAACTTTTTCTACCTCATCCATCCATCCATCCATTCATTCTCTAAACTGTTCAACCTGTTCAGGGTCATGAGGGGTCGGAGGCCATCCCATCATGCAATGGTAAGAAGGTATAGTAGTAAACCTTGCACCAGTCGCTAGTGGGTCACTTCCTGTGCCATCATTGTCTGCATAGCAATATTCTCATATAGCCTTCGAAGTAATAATTTTGTTGCATCAACCTGAGTTAGTATTTCATGATCTCTTCCTAAACCTAACTAAGACACTTGACACGTGACGTTGGCACTTGAAAAAATGAGAAGATGATATCATACAAACCGTTGTATGAGGATACGTAGCAATATGCCAATAGTACTACACTGAGTCACCAGTTTAACAGGTACACTAGCACAAGATACAATCCACTACCGCAGCCATGCAATAAATCATATCTATGTTTATAATGTTTGCCGTTTGTTGAAATCCATGCATCTAAATCGATCATTCCTTCCTGCAGGTGTATTAATGGCGTAAGCAGTCAGACAGCCATCCGGTCATGGCGCTGTGGTGGTGCGCCAACGTCTTCTGCAGGTTGGCTGCAGCGTGGTTTCCCCTGCTCTTCTCATCACTGCTATGGCAAACGGTAAATCTGCATCGCAGCAGCTCCCAACGTCTTATAAAAACCAGTGGTTTGAATTAGAAGAGCTTGACTGAAAAACAAGTGACTTAGTTTCCCTGTCGGTGAAGACAATCTGAAAATGTCGTTGCGCCGTCGGTGTTGATTCATAGGGAAACCAATCAGTTTCCAATCAAACTTTTGCTAAAGTTATGAGGCTGACGTAGGGTGAAAAACACAAACCCAAGGATAGGTATGTGACTAAAGTATACATTTCCTAAAACCACACTTTTTTGGAAGGAAATCTTGAATTTATCATGATGGAATTGGGCAAAGGAGGGCACAATGTTAATAAACCTGGTCTATTTGATACAAGCCCCAAGTCGATTTCCTCCCCTTAGTATTGATTCCTTTCCAAACTGTCAGTTGCTATACAGGTCTGAACTCATCCATTTGCTTCTCCCTCTCTTATCTCATCCTGTCTGAATCTCTGATTTTGCCTCTGCTGCTCACTGCTTTCTCATACCTCCTTTATCATACCTTCCCACGTTTACTCTCTCTCTTTTTTATTTTATCCCCTAACCTTCTTAATCTGTTTGCTGTCTGTCCTTAACTTTACTCTCAACTCTACTGTAGATCTCCCCCGTACATGCCATTGCACCCTGCCCACGGAGCTGCAGCTGTCCAGGCATTAAAGAGGTCCACTGTACGTTCAGACACCTCACCACCGTACCAAAAATCTTCCCTAAAGACACAGAGAGGCTCAACCTCGGGTAAGACTCGATCGCTGTGCAAAAACACACACACACGGCAGTGTTGAGACGTTGTTGTGAATGGCAGCCCGTGGGGGAAGAAACCCAAACACTCTGCAGGAAGTAGTGTGGAATGTGGAGTCTGATTTGTCAGAGGAGTGTTGGCTTTAGCTCACAAACACCGCCTCTAAAAACTTGCAAACCAATATGCTGAGGCAAGGGCTTTTCGGCTGTCCAGGATGAGATCACTTTCTTTTATGCCTTAGAGGAGCTACTCTCTTGCTTTAGCTGGTGGGATCATTATCCGTATCGCTGCTTGCCATCGGTTGATATGCCAACAGTCCTTAGGAACAAAAGAAGCCAGTTTTACACCAAAGAGAGCAGTCTCATCACTTCACTTCCGCGCGCAGGCCATGGTGCATTTATTTTTTTCCACATCTGCTTTAAACCCAAAAGATAAGGGCTTAGCACCTGCATGAGGTGCTGAACTGACTCCAGCGGGGACAAATCACTTCCATGTGGACGGAGCTTTCACTGCCCTCCAGCACAGCGTAGAAATAGCCCAGCAACTGTTTTGTATGCAACAAACTGCCGTGTCTAATAATTGGCTCCCAAACGATCCATATTTACATGGCAAACCACATGGCAGGCAGGAGCCAGAGCCACACCTTTGTTCACGGGAGGCTCTCCATTTGCATGTGGAGGCTCTGTTGTGGGAACAGCTGTCACTGGATTGCATGTGCATTCCATTTGTGCTTTAAGTATCTCTTTAGCTCTGAATGTAATGCTGTGATGTGATGAGCCATTTCAGCAGGTAAAAGCTACAACGCTGTGCCAAGCTACAGTCCTCAGGAGGTAAACTGCCTCCATATGCACTTCTGGGAACAGTAGAGCTATCAGTAAAATTCCAGATAATCTTGGTCTTGAACCAATACAGAAAGCATGTACTGTTAAATATAGCCAGCATTACACTGCTGGGACTTCATTAGGAAGGGTTTGGCAAACAGCAAATGTTATATTAATATTAACTTACAGCAATAGAGAATTCTTGCTTTTGTTTTATGGATCAGATCTAACCATTGTAAAGACATATCGCAGGGTGGAAGCATCCTAAAAAAACACATATGGCACACATGAACAGACACATGGAATATAATATATCATTGCACCACGTAACAATCAGAAAGTCATCAAAATGGACGCGACACGATTCCCACATGGCAGCAACAATAAGTGAGAGGCTGATGCTATGTCTCTGACTTCCTCAATTGACCAATCCCTACCAATGACCTAACAGCAACTGTCCAACCATATCTTAGGGTGCTTTCACAACTAACCTGTTTGGTTTGGTTAAAATGAACTCAGGTCCGTTTGCCTGGTTAGTATGGTTAACGTAAGCTGCAAACATTAGCATATCCAGCTAACTAGCTTACTATCTACAGTAGTGAATTAACACAGTTACTTCCAAAGCCAAGGAGCATTTGATGCTATGTATTTCCGCACTGTGTGGGAGCTAGTCCAGGATGCTAATATATATAAGTGTAGGGTAGTGTTAGCAGCTCTGTTTTTCTCTTTATTACATTTTGAGAAGTTTACACTCCAGCAAGCCCAGCCCAGCTTGTTACCCGAGATAGCATTGCACCAAACATATTTAGACGTAATCCTAAAAGTCTTTTCTCTTGTAACATCAGTTAAACATCATATTTTAAATAAAAACAAGAAATCATAAATGTAACCTGCATCTTAATTATCCAAGTAAGTACATTTAGCAACCAAAGAGTGTTAGATTAGAATGGAATACACGTCTGAATTTAGCATAGTTCTTGGACTGCAATGTTGAGTTGGTTAGTATCAGTTTCTTTTTCTTTATCACAAACAAGTGAGGATGCAGCATTGTTACGTCGGACAATATCATATTTGTAGCCATCAAGTGCATATTTGATACAAATAATTGTTGTTTTTGAACGAATCAGCTGGAAATATTAAGAAGTCAGTCAATGATAGCGTTTTGAACCAACTTATGGAGCTAACGTTAGCTTGTTTAGCTAGCTTGTTCCAGCTGCCAGTGACCGCAAACAGCAGTTAGAAATGAGTTTATCTATTTGTCTATCTTTGACTGAAATAAAGGACCTATTGTTTCAAAATTTCCAAAAAGTTTGAGTCACCGTCATTACAGTAAACAGCATTTATGCCGCGTGAGAACTGACAGCTTGACAGGCGTAGCAACCGATTTGTATCGGTCAATTGATTGTGTTCAGTTTACCACTTATCCATCCATCCATCCATTTTCCTCCGCTTATCCGGGGTCGGGTCTCGGTGGCAACAGGCCAAGCAGGCTGACCCAGACTTCCCTCTCACCGGCAACATGTTCCAGCTCATTCTGGGGGATCCCGAGGCGTTCCCAGGCCAGCTGGGAGATGTAATCCCTCCAGCGTGTTCTGGGTCTTCCCCGGGGTCTCTACCCAGTTGGACGTGCCTGGAAAACCTCCAGTGGGAGGCGTCCAGGAGGCATCCTAATTAGATGCCCGAACCACCTCAGCTGATTCCTTTCGACGCGAAGGAGTAGCGGCTCGACTCCAAGCTCCCTCCTGATGACCGAGCTCCTTACCCTATCTCTAAGGCTGAGCCCGGCCACCCTACGGAGGAAGCTCATTTCGGCCACTTGTAGCCGCGACCTTGTCCTTTCGGTCATGACCCAGAGTTCGTGACCATAGGTGAGGGTAGGAACGTAGACCGAGTGGTAAATTGAGAGCTTTGCCTTCCGGCTCAGCTTCCTCTTCACCAAGACGGTCCGGTGCAGCGCCTGCTTTACTGCTGCAGCCGCACCAATCCATCTGTTGATCTCCCGCTCCATATTACCCTCACTCGTGAACAAGACCCCGAGATACTTGAACTCCTTCGCTTGAGGTAGGCACTCCGTCCCCACCTGGAGGGAGCAATCCACCGGTTTCCGGCAGAGCACCATGGCCTCAGATTTGGAGGTGCTATCTCCCATTCCCGCCGCTTCACACTCGGCTGCAAACCGCCCCAGTGAATGCTGGAGGTCACGATCCGAGGAGGCTAACAGGACCACATCATCTGCAAACAGCAGAGAGGCGATCCCGACATTCTCCACCCCCCGGCTGCGCCTAGATATCCTGTCCATGAAAGTCACGAACAGGACCGGAGACAAAGGGCAGCCCTGGCGGAGGCCAACACCCACCGGGAACGTGTCTGACTTATTGCCGAGAATGCGGACACAGCTCCTACTGCAGTTGTACAGAGACCGGATCGCCCGTTGTAATGGGTCCGGCACCCCATACTCCCGCAGCACCCCCCACAAGAACCCCCGAGGGACCCGGTCGAAAGCCTTCTCCAAGTCCACAAAGCACATGTAGACTGGTTGGGCAAACTCCCAGAACCCCTCCAGTAGCCTTGCGAGGGTAAAGAGCTGGTCCACTGTTCCACGGCCGGGATGGAATCCGCATTGCTCCTTTTGAATCTGAGGTTCGACAAACGGTCGGAGCCTCCTTTCCAGCACCCTGGCATAAGCCTTCCCCGGGAGGCTGAGTAGTGTGATACCCCGGTAATTCGAGCACACTCTCCGGTCCCCCTTTTTGAAAATGGGAACCACCACCCCGGTCTGCCAGTCCATGGGCACTGATCCCGACCCCCATGCGACATTGAAGAGGCGTGTCAGCCAGGACAGCCCAACTATGTCCAGCGCTTTCAGCATCTCAGTTCGGATCTCATCCACCCCCGGCGCCTTGCCACCGAGGAGCTTTTTGACTACCTCAGTGGCCTCTGCCAGGGATATGGGTGAGCCTCCCCCTAGATCTTCAGGTGCTGCCTCCTCTGCAGAGGACATGTTGGTCGGCTTTAGGAGTTCCTCAAAGTGCTCTTTCAACCGCCCGACGATGTCCCCTGTCCGGGTCAGCAGTTCCCCCCCCCTGCTTAGAACAGCCTGGGGTAAGCCCTGCTTTCCCTTCCTGAGTCGTCGGATGGTTTGCCAGAACCTCCTTGAGGCCAACCGAAAGTCCTTCTCCATGGCCTCCCCGAACTCCTCCCATGCCTGAGTTTTAGCATTCGCGACCACCGCAGCTGCAGCCCTTCTGGCCTGCCGGTACCTGTCAGCTGCTTCGGGAGACCCCTGGGCCAACCAGGCCTTGAAGGTCTCCTTCTTCAGCTTGACGGCTTCCCTCACCTCCGGTGTCCACCACCGGGTTCTCGGGTTGCCGCCACGACAGGCACCGATGACCTTCCGGCCACAGCTCCTAGCGGCCGCGTCCACAATAGAGGCTTTGAACATGGTCCATTCGGATTCCATGTCCCCAACCTCCCTCGGGATGTGTGAGAAGTTCTTCCGGAGGTGGGAGTTAAAGACCTCCCGGACAGGGTCCTCCGCCAGACGTTCCCAGTTCACCCTCACTACACGTTTGGGCTTGCTGGGTCTTTCCAACCGGTTCCCCTGCCATCTGATCCAACTCACCACCAGGTGGTGATCAGTTGACAGCTCTGCTCCTCTCTTCACCCGAGTGTCCAAGACATACGGCCGCAAATCAAATAATACGATTACAAAGTCGATCATTGATCTCCGGCCTAAGGTGTTCTGGTACCAGGTACACTTATGAGCCACCTTATGTTCGAACATGGTGTTTGTTATGGCCAAACCATGGCACGCACAGAAGTCCAATAATGAAACACCATTCGGGTTCAGATCGGGCAAGCCGTTCCTCCCAATCACCCCCTGCCAGGTTTCTCCGTCATTGCCCACGTGAGTGTTGAAGTCCCCCAGGAGAACTATGGAGTCGGTAGGCGGCGCCCTTTCCAGGACCCCTCCCACCGACTCCAAGAAGGCCGGATACTCTGAACTGCTGTTTGGTGCATAAGCACAAACCACAGTCAGAGCCTTGCTCCCCGCAACCCGTAGGCGCATGGAGGCGACCCTCTCGTTCTCCGGGGAGAACTCCAACACAGCGGCGCTCAGCCGGGGGCTCGTGAGTATCCCCACTCCCGCCCGGCGCCTCTCACCCTGGGCAACTCCGGAAAAGGACAAAGTCCAACCCCTCTCCAGGAGCTTGGTTCCAGAACCAGCGCTGTGTGTGGAGGTGAGTCCAACTATATCTAGCTGGTACCGCTCCACCTCCTGCACCAGCTCTGGCTCTTTCCCCGCTAGCGAGGTGACGCTCCACGTCCCTAGAGCTAGACTATGCTGCTGGCGATCGGCTCGCCCAGGCCTCCCTCCTGACCCGCCGCCCGGTCTGCATTACACCCGACCCCGATGCTTATCCCTGCGGGTGGTGGGTCCACAGGGTGGCTGCTCCATGCTGTTTATTCGGGCTGAGCCCGACCGGGCCCCATGGGCGAAGGCCCGGCCACCAGACGCTCGCCGACGAGCTCCCCTCCTGGGTCTGGCTCCGGGAGGGTGCCCCGGTTTCCCTGGTCTGGGCGAGGTGACTGAAGTCCGTGGGCTGCTTTTGATTGGGGTCGTTTTGAACCGCTCTTAGTCTGGGCTCTCCCCTGAGACCTGTTTGCCTTGGGAGACCCTACCAGGGGCTAATGCCCCGGACAACATAGCTCCCAGGATCACTGAGCCACTCAAACTCCTCCACCACGTTAAGGTGGCGATTCGCGGAGGACAAATAATTCTTGTTTTTGAACGAATCAGCTGGAAATATTAAGAAGTCATTCAATGATAGAGTTTTGAAGCAATTTATGGAGCTAACGTTAGCTTGTTTAGCTAGCTTGTTCCAGATGCCAGTGACCGCAAACAGCAGTTAGAAATTTGTTTATCTATTTGTCTATCTTTGACTGAAATAAAGGACCTATTGTTTCAAAATTTCCAAAAAGTTTGAGTCACCGTCATTTCAGTAAACAGCATTTGTGCTGCGTGAGAACTGACAGCTTGACAGGCGTAGCAACCGATTTGTATCGGTCAATTGATTGTGTTCAGTTTACCACTTATGCTGCTAGTAGATTGTTTGATGTTGTGTTGCACTTTTGCATACTCGATTCTGATTCTCTAATGATTCCTGATTTGTGTTCTTTGTGTGGGGTAGAAGGCAGTGTCTGTTACGACGGGAATAAAGGGAATTTCTCAAGGACACTTCGGCAGGGCAGACATTTGGAGGGAGACCAAACCTTTAGGGAGCTAACAGAATCTGACTTTCTAAACATTAGACCACCCTGCAAACTGGGGACTGCAGACCAGGGGGATTTAGTCCCTAATGCAAAACTGTTGGTATATGTTCACACCAGGCATGCTTGCATTGTTTTATTTACACTCCAGGCCTGGTTTTGTTTAGTTCCTTTAGTTCAAAAGGACATTGCTCAAATAAATGCAGGCGTCCATCCTCTTTCTAAGGCTCTTCTGCATTCAGTGAGTGGCGTGGAGGATGGTATGGACCGCCTAAGCACCTGGCATGGTGACAATGGGGCTTAAGATTCAGCTCATTTTCCCAAGTACTCTGTCATGATGCAGTAATGATACATTATGGGAAACAGTACATACAAGTCTGCCATGATTTATGCTGGAATCCAATTAACTTCCTCCAGGGATCTCGAGATCTGTCGCAATGGGTTCACTGAGAATTAAGACCTGCTGAAACTTACAATTTACTTACAAAAGTGCAACAAAAGAAACTGGACTGAGAACTATATAGTGAAGGTACAGTTAAACAACAGTACAGTTAAACCTAAAATACTGCAAGTAACATACAGTAGGGCCTTATGATTTATGCGATGTAGAAAACATGGAAGGAATCGTGCAATTTGATAATAAAAATGGAATCAGCTGTAAAACATGGAATGCTGTGGAGTTTGCCGCAATTTATAAAAATCAAGGCTTAACCGACTATTATAAGCGTTTCTTTCACAGCACCTTAGCTGAATAAACTATGGAGCCATGTTTTGGTTTCATTTACAGCCATACTGCTTCTCTTCTCTGCTCTCTGTACTTGTGTTTCATTTTCTTATGAACTGTTAAATTTGTATTCATCCACCAAATTAAATTAGACACATTTTTCTGATGAAGAAATGTGTTTACTACAGAATTCTGAAAAATCAAAACTGCAAACACTCCTGTGTACCGAAGAAATGCAACACTTTTCATTATGGTATGAGTGCAAAACACTTTGAACGGGTTTAAAGTTCAGTTCCCAATGGGAAAACCCACACTAGAAATATGTGCATTGTGGAAAGGCACTCTGGATGAAAGTGACCACCAGATGATATACTGTGAGTTGGCTGTTTTATTGATGGCAGCGGAAAAACGCAGAATCCCCCATATGTGTTCAATTGGGTAGGGATAACTGCAAACAGGGAATGCTGTGTGTTTTAGAGTCTAATAACTCACTTCAGGATAGTAGACTCTGAAAGACAATGTGCTATGCTGATCCCTGTTGTTGAAAGGCCTGACAAACTCAAATACTGAAATCTGTCAAATGCTGTGGGCCCCTGCCAATAGTCAACGTGTTCTGTTGTGTTCCTTTATTGAAAAATGGCTTTGGCTCTGGCTTCTACTGTTCTATACTGCCCTTGGCAATCAGTCTGACTCTTTGTCAGATGTAATGTGCTGAAACCTAAAGACTCAAAGAAAGGCTCTTTGTATTTTGACTGCCGATACATGGACCCCTTGGGCAAAACTAATATAAAAATACTGAATTTCTAAACGTATCCCATGTCTAATGTGCAATTACAGTGTTGTTGGTCAGACTACGTAAACCAAGACCATGACCAGAGTGTATCAATACTGAGACAAAACCAAGGCTCTGAGGGGATGAGACACAGTTAAGACCATGACCAGAGTGTATCATGTATTTTGTGTGCAATTTAGTGATATCCCCACAGTCGTGGTCTTGACTGGTCTTAAAATAAAGTCATCTTTGTCTTAGACCAAGATAAGACCAAGTTAAAATGTGTTTGATTCCGAGACAATATCCAGATCTACATCACGTAGTCTTGTGACCAAGACCGTTCTCGAATTATATAACACTGGTGCATCTGTGCTTGGTGTGTATGAGTGTGTGTTTCCTCTGACAAATGATGAAATAACTGTGGTTCAAAGGTTGACTGAGATGTCTCTGTGATCCCTCTTTCCATCCATTCTTTACAGCTATCTTTCCCCCCTTTCTTTTGAAAGATCAGACACACATGCACGCACCGATTGTTAACTGATATTAGTTTCCTAACCAGTTAGTAACCAGTCCTGTTTCTTTTCTCCCTCTAACAGTTATAACAGCCTGACAGAGATGGCGGGGTCAGAATTCAGGTCACTACGGCAACTGGAAATGCTCATGTTGCATGGCAACGACATTAGCTCAGTCCACCCTGGGGCATTTTACAGCCTGAGATCACTACAGGTAGAGTTTGTGTGTGTGTCTTGTTATTTCAACTACAATACCAACACTTAACTTCTCTAAATTTGTCTTCAAAATCAGACGGACTAGTTTGTATGTGTAAAGGTGGTGAAAATGAATTAATTAATTCATACATATAAACTGAATTCATCCACCATCATTAAGACTTAAGACCCATAGCCCATTGGATTTAGTTCTGCAAGAACCTGTGGTTTCTCCTACATTCCGTTCAGGTCCAATGGTCCAACAGATCCGGATCAAGTGAAAGTGATTTATTGCTGATATAGTTTCTTCGATATGTGTCAAACCCTTTTGAGTCTTTACCTTCTCCATATCTGGCTCTAAATCCATAGCTGGAGCAATTTGTAGCAAGATGTAAAAGTAATGAAGCACGTTGGGGCTGGCCAACACCACATTGTATGTACAAACAAAGCCAGATCAAATGTTCCCCTTTTAAACCAATAATTAGTTGCAGTTTGATTGCTTGACTAAAAATGCAGTCTTGTTGGGTCCAGATGGGGCCAATCAGAACCTAACTTCGCATTCTAAACAGGCGGAAGATACATAAGAATTGGATTGAGTCATCGACTTATTTGAGGTACAAATGTCCTCAAAAAGATGGAAGAATGATGGAAGAATAATAAAGGACGGGATGCTCTTTTGTAATGTAGACTGATACGTTTCTTAATGAAAATGCACCCAAAGCACCTTTCAAAAAAATGTAATCACAATCACCTTTTTAGTAACACAATATGAAACTGAAGACGATTGAATCAATTCGACAGGGTTGTTCATGCGGCCAAAGTGCTGCCTTCCCTGCAGCTCTGCATATTTATTAGGCACTTTTAGCTCATTGTTTCCTGGGGCAGCCATTTCCAACAAAACTAGCTGAGACAAGCCTTCCTTCATACACTTCCTATCACGCATGAAAAAGACACAAAACAAGCAAGAAGCTGAATATATCTAAAAGCATCTATCAAGCTAAATATGACAAAAAGAATTGTCAGCCGTTGATGGAATATGGACTTCTGTTAGTCACATCCCTTCTGTCCCATCTCCAATTATCAAACCCTTAGCCTGCTAATTGCTTAAATAGTTTTAATAAATGTCAGTATAACTATTTTTTCCCCAGATCTTGAAGTTGAGTTACAACAAGCTAAAATCGGTGAACCCCGGTCTGTTTGAGGGCCTTGCTGGTTTGATCCGTCTTCATCTGGACCACAACCTCATTGACTTTATAGAGCCATACTCCTTCTCTGGCCTGAGCTCCCTGAAACTCCTGCAGCTGGAGGGGAACCTTCTCAAAGAGATCCACCCTCATACCTTCATAACGGTGTCACTACTAGGAAGCTTTTGGACCTCTGGACTCAAGTAAGAAGCAGAAAGGCGGGAGATGTTTCTCTTAATTTTTGAAAATTGAAGCATCTTTTCAAAACTGTTAAGGGTCATATAAATTGTACTTGGGAAATAGTACTACTTTTGGAGTATCTATTTATATTTGTTTGATGATACAGTGTAAATTAAATTAATGGAGTTTGCATGTTCCCTCCAGTTAAAAGACGCAGATTCCCCAAATTGCTTACAGGTATAAAGTTGCTATACCTGCACCTCACACCTTATGGATACTCCAGTATATTTCTTTTCCTCCCTATTGCACGTTGCATGCAAGAATAGACATCATCCTCCTGTCACCCTGCAGACCAGTGAGTGAATACAATTATATGTTTTTGTTTCAGACACTTACATCTGTCGGACAATCTGTTGGAGCAGCTTCCTGCCGCAGTGCTGAAAACAGCTCCCCGGCTTGAGATCCTCTCTCTACACGGTAATCCCTGGGCCTGTGACTGTCAGCTCCACTGGTTGATAGAATGGAGCTCCACACATGAAGGTAAGGACGCATGAATGATTCGTCAAATCTTTTTTTTCTCACATCAGAAAACTGCTCCTTGCTTCTTCACTTCTGTGGTGCCAAAAGTTTAATCTTAAAGCTGCTTTAATCAATTAGTTTAGCCACCTGGGGGAAGGAGATCCAGCAGAAAATGTCCACATGTTATGACCTTATCAAGTTTATAAAGTCATTTGGACTTAAATTTGCCTTTCAGCTCAGCTCCACCAACTCCTGAGAAAAATATGTTAGCTTGTTAGCGAAGTGTTACTTATTTAAACATCCAGCAGTTCGGGAGCAACATGCCTCTGACTACCTGGCAAATGTGAGTCCAATATTCACTCTCTTTTAACTCTGTTTTCGGTGTCCACCAACTCCTGAAGTAAATGTCTGGCTTCTTAGCTCCTAAACGCTCCACTGTGTTCACCAGCCAGTCACGAACTGTGTCTGTCTGCTATTTGGTGCTGAGCAGAAAGTGTACCATGTGTTTTTAGAGCTTTCTCACTAAAAACAGCTGCCTGCTAAAGCTAAAAACAACTTTTATTAGCGTGGCGAAAGCCGCACAGCTAAACAATGAGCTGAAACTCACTATAAAGCTCGGTACAGCTGACGGGGAGCTGCTGATTCAGGATATGATTCTGTGTAGGTTCATTATTACGAGCAACCCCTTTCACACTGTCACATTGTTTTCTCATGGCATTTGATGAGAATACAGATTATAGCCACTTTAAGAAACAATATCTGTCACAATAGAAATGGGGATGAAGATCAAGTGAGCAATCACTGAGCAACTGGACTGATTGGCTCCTATCAAGGCAAAAAACGCCATATCAAACAATATCACCCTTTAAATGAACACAAGTTTAAATCAGAACTTTCAACTTAATAACTGGTTGCAACCAATTTCTATATTAACAATATATGTACACCAAGAATAATGTCTCCGGACTTCATACGCATGTTTTTGACCAGAAGCAGAGCATAATGCTGGCAAATAATTGTGCATGTCTGCCTTCTAACTAACATTTGTAGGACACAGCTTCCCTCAATATATTGACTGTATTTGAGCCACATGCAGTTTTCTTTATCCGTCTTTCTCATTCAATATTTTTCATTACGCATGTGCTTTGCCACATTTGTTGTTGCTTAGTTACAGTTTTGTGAATAGCCTTCAACCAGTCCCACATGCTAGCTGTTTGTATCAACAGAACATTTGACATATCATTGTTTTTACGGCCCGCTTCATCTGAAAATGGGGTTCTGTGACTGCCAGAACTTTATTAGTGGATGCACTAACCTTCACTGAACTGAAAACTCATGAAGGGATCATATTGTATCCACATTGTTCCAAACCCTTATAATGCCAGATTCATGTTTTATTTTTCACCTTTTTCCCCTCTTTACTTATCTCCCATCTTAATTCATTCCTTAAATTTTCCCTTGCCCTGTCTTTACCTACAACCGCCCCTTCCCTCTCAACTTTTCCCCTTTGACTTTCCCTTCCAATTCCTCAGATGTTTTTCCATCATGCCTTATAATCCTGCCTTTTTTATCTTTCCCCCCTCTTTCTACCAGGCGTTATAAAATGCAAGAAGGAACGTGGCTCCAGTGAAACTTGCCCCCAGTGCTCCTCTCCTCAACCCCTGAATGAGACCCATTTGCTAGGACTGACTCCAGCCAAGCTTACTTGTGAGCGACCAGCTCTTCGCTCGGCCCTCAAACAGTGGGACAATCCTGTGTGGGCTGAATCTGAATCAGAACCTGACCTTCCGTACACCCGTGACTTTGAGAAGCCTTTAGGCCATCTGACCGTCGTTCTCTCTGACAGCCATGGAAACAGTGCTCACGTGGCGTGTGATGTGCGACAACCCGGAGGCAGTTCACCCATGACTTGGACAGTAAATCCACAGTCACCTGGCGAGTTATCCGTCAATGTATCACTAGTGACTGTCCTCGAGTGTGAAATTGATCGGGAGCAGTTGCAAAATCTATGGCAATTGGTCGCATATTACTATGAAAGCCCTGCTATCTTGGAGAGAGGTCAGCTGAGAGGAAATGCAAGCGGAGTAACCTATCAATATGTCCAAGCCGTAAATGAAAATTCCCCATATTTCACTGAATTAAAAGGGTACTTGGTAGCAGAACCCTCATGGCTGCTCCAACCCAGAGTCACTTTGAGGCTCAACAGACCGCAGACAACAACCAAGAAACTGGTTATGGATTTCACTACTGTAATTACCAAGCACATCAACAGCTATAGAGGATCGGAAGATGACAATGACCTAGCCATGTCCTGGGCTGTAATTCGCAGAGGGACAGCAGGACGGGTTCAGACTGCTCTTGAAGGTTCAAAGGTTAATTTGGAGTGCAGTGTTGTCACTTCAGATCCGGAGATGAAAGTGGAGTGGATGCTTACAGATTTGTCCATTGTGGAAGATGCAACTGACAAAATTGAAATTTCTGAAAGAGGAGAACTTGTGATTTTGAATGCCACACAGTCAGACTCAGGCCTTTACCATTGTATGGTGAGGACCAAAGCCGGTGTGGACTTGATACCTCTGAGACTCACCATCAAAGAACTCTCACTCAGCCCAACAGCTTTCAATGGTCAGAAAATTGTAGTTGAAAAGGGACACTCTTTTTTTCTCCCGTGTGAGGTGATCTCAGTCCAGCCCAGTCAAACTATGTGGTACCTACCCAAAAACCAAATTCTTCTTCCAACGCAACAGACAAGACGGACAGAAGTGATGGAAAATGGGACTTTGGTGGTAAGGAGATTGACACAGGAAGATGCAGGGGAATACACCTGCCTGGCCTCAAATCTGTATGGAGTTGACATGATATCACACCTGGTGGAAGTTACAGGAGGAGAAAAGTCCTCTGATACATCCAAAGTGCAGACTGCGGAAGAGCAGCAGGTTTTGCCAGTTGGCGTTGAGGAAGGAGAGGGTTCTGGGGGAGATTACCAGGAAATTATACGTCCTTTTGCTACGCAGTTCCCTAAGAAGGTAGGAACTCAACAAAGGAATCATAATGGGTTTTCAAAGAGGATAAGAATTAAAGATTCAAAGAGAAAACCCAATAAATCTGTGAAAGAATTAGATCCAAATCGTTGGGCAGAGATATTGGCTAAAGCTAATGCTAAACCAAGTGTTGCTCTGCCCACAGAGCAGTCACTTCCAGAACCCAGCACTGTAACTATCCAAACAAGTACATCCAAACCCACTACGACAACTGCTACAACAATTTCCACTAATGCTAACAACTTACACCCTACTACTACCCCTCCCGATATCAGGATACAGACAACTTTTTTCCCCATCAACACAAAAGCTAAGACTGAAGCCTACTCTACAGAGAAAAAAGGGGCTGACTCTGAGACATCGGAAAGGCAGCCAGAGGTTTTCCAACTTCCGCCTCCCAGAAGTATTGAACCAACCCCCCACCGTGTTGGTGGGATGGCAGAAAAAGTCGAAACAGTCACAGACTTTCCTGCTGTTGGAACTCATCAGCCAGATCAGTCAGAAATTAAGCACTCTGGAGAGGGGAGAAGGAACAACATCCTCATTCCTGGTCATACAAACAGAAGAAGGCCTCCTTATAGGCGTAGAAAGCCCCCAATGAGAAGAGTCCGTCCGCACGGACACCCCTTTTACCATTCATCAAACAAGCCCCAAACAACAGTTCCCCCAACAACAACCATCAGACCAACAACACCAACACCAACAACTACTACTACAACTACTACTACGACTACTACTACTACTACTACGACGACAACAACAACAACTGCTCCAACAACAGTGGAGAACCATGACATCTTATCTGCTGAGTATCCGACAGAGGAAGATGAAGGTGAATACTATGAAGAATATAATTACAAGGATAGTGGTAGTTTTGATGCCAAGGAAGATTTAAACAGTGAAACCCCTCATGCTACTCATGATCTTGACAGTAGGCTTACCACATTACCAGCTAAAGAGAAAGATGTAGGTAGTTCTCCACTCAATCCAAAGATGATTGTCAATTCAAAGCTCGACAGTACTCCTCATCCAACTGAAAGGCCTGTTGAAGAGAAGGAGACAGACACTGTGAAGCTTAAGGAATCTGAGAGACAGAGTGTGGAGATTAGAACGCAAACTGAAGAAAAGGGCAGAGACAATGAAGATTTTGCAGCAGAGAGTGAGAGGGAGGTAATAAGAGCAATGGAAAGGGAAGAAACACACAAAATAGACACAGAAGGCAGTGACAAAGACACAGAAGAATCAAAACAGACGTGGGTTACAGAGAGCTACAATACACAAGATAGCATCCGGTTAACCACACAAAATAGACCAAAACCTAACACTCGACCTTCACCGGAACAAAATACACCAACCCAACCAAGAACTTCATCTACCTCACATTCAACAAGAGGCAGAGAAAAAGAACTCACACAGAAAGAGGATAAAGACGTAAACAAGCCGAAGGTAAAGCCTGAGGTCCACAGTTTCCCAGTAATGGAGCCTGTTCACCCCTGGCTCCATCAGATCAAACAGGGAGGAGGGCAAACCCCTGCATCCAGGACAACACACACAAACCAAAACAGAAATATAGCAAGGCAAAGCGAAGTGAATCCGGGCAGGCATTCCCAGCCTCCTAGAGTCCCCCCGACCTCCCGCTGGCCACACCATCGTTACTACCCACTCTATCCTTCCAGGCCTGGTCAAAGGTCATTTCCTCATCCAAGGCAAGGTAAGTAATGTTGCTGTGTAATGGTTTCTTTTTGAAATACTGTTTTGAAAAAAGGTGATGACCAAATGTGATTGAGTGTAAGAGATAGTGGATAAAGAACAAAATGAATACAGCAAATATACTATAAAAAAGGTAATATTATATTGGCCTGGTGTTATGTTATGATGAGTAACTCTACTACTGGTTGGAATGCATGTATATATATTTGATAACATTTTTGTTCTTTAGGTCCTTGGTCCCACCCTGTGCCTACGCACCGACCCTGGGCTCTCCCCCACCCCTGGGCTCAAAGCCCGGCTGTCACCAACCGACCCGAGATCACTGCAGAAACAGTGAAGCCCACACCTACACTCTCTGGAACAACAGGAAATTCCAGAGTTACACTCTCTAATGCCCATCTGTCACATCATCATCACCAACAACAAAATCATCATATGGATGGCAGGACCCAAACCAGAGACCAACTGTTTCTATCAAGGTTGAGGAACAGATACAGACAGGTATGAAAAAAGGTTGGTTTTAGAGGTGTGCAGCCTGCAGGCAATCTTATTGTGCATCTTAATCTTCACAAAGTGCTTTGAAAACACAAAGTGAGTGAGCAACATTTAGCTTTGTTGGCAACACACCCCTTGAACGCAGACTGGCCAATCATAGCGTAATATCAGCCCGCTCTGACCAAGGTCTGACAACTAACCCGCTGTGCTCCACAGAGAGTACCCGGAGAGTTTGGAAGGAGATATATGTTTCTTGAATGTAACTTTTTGAATGTAACTTTTCTACGTAAAAACCTATGGAGCTAACATTAGCAGAGTACGTTAGTACATCATTAACGAGAGTTAGCACTATGCTACACTAGCTGCTGAAGGTATACTGAATGTATACGAATGCTGTTTTTGCTTTTTAATGTTGGTTACAGTGAAGTAGGGCCTACCCGCCTTTACAGGAAAAGTGTTGTTCCTTAATTACATTGTCTTTTGCCTCGATCGCCATGTGATGTGGTGGTCCACGTTTACATTGTGATATGCAGACTTTAGCTTCTATCTTTATCTTTTGAACTTGTTTTCACTGCTGAATCAGTTTGACATCCTGGATATACCCTTCAAACGAATATTGTAGAGCCTTCTGTCTGAAATCACTTAATAGTTTTTTCCAAAAATGAATTAATATTTATGTAGGGAGTGCAGTTAATGACAGTGCAGGCTCCATGGTAGCTCTGACAGCTTAACGGCGCAGCAGCGGGCTTACCAAGGGTCAATTGCTAATGATGGTGATGATGATGAACCAGCTCTCAGAGATGGGATTTAGTTTCAGGTAAATGGGTTAGTACTATACTAATTGATCCTTTTTATTTTTCCAGGCGCAGCTCGAACGCATCGCTCAGTTAGGGAGGATGATGACTCCCAAACCTCGCATTAGCTACCACAATCCATCCCCCATCACACTTAAACCCAACCCTCCATCTCTACATAGACCCTACAACCCTAAACCACCAGCACCCACTGCTTCTTACACTTACAAGCTGCAACCTCTGAACCCTGCTAAACCTTCATCATCACCATTCTTGGGTTTTCACACCACCCCTGGTGTACCGTATGGAGGTCGGTGGGGTGTTGGAGGTAAGAACACTTTTAAAAATATATTGGTAATGTATTCATAATGAAAAATGAGGAATATATTTTAACATATTTCATTCAGTAATGATATTATTTTTGGTCTTTGTAGCAGGAAGAATCAGCTCTCGGTGGGCCACAGCTGCACCTCCTTTCCCATGGGTGTTGGGAGTTGGAAGTGGTGGGCTAAAGGCCCGTATTACCACAGTGACCACAGCTAGTGTGTCAGTACTGGCGGAGAGTGATATGTTCCTGCACTGCAAAGCAACAGGGAATCCTGAACCCAATATTGCATGGACCAAAGTCTCCACAGGTAAGGGAGAGAGAAGTCAAAAGAAAATCTAAGCTTCTAGCTCGTTCTTCTCACTGGCCCTGGGTCAGATCTGCCTGCTGCTGTGTCTATTTAGATACTATCACTGGGGAACGCCAGAGACAGACATTTTCAAATATGGCATACTCAGTCATGAGAATCATGATCCAGAATTCAAATCTCTCTTTCATCATTGCGTCTTTATCCTTTCTGCACTCTTCTTTATCCTTTCTGCACTCCTCTCAGGTGCCACCATCGCAGCAGACACCAAGCATGGCCCCCGTTTTGAAGTCTTCAAAAATGGAACGTTTGTCATTAAAAACATCCAGCTCCAGGATAGAGGCCAGTACCTCTGCACGGCCCAGAACAGCTTTGGATCAGATCGCATGGTCATCACCTTAGCTGTCCAGACTGAGGCACCAAAGATCCGGCCACCCAAGTCTATAGAGATAGCAGTCTACTTTGGGAAAAGTGTGACTCTTGACTGCCTTGCTTCGGGTAAACCACCTGCCCAGATTTCCTGGATTCTTCCGGACAGGACATTTGTGCGTGAAGTCGGGACTGTTCCCACGCCCCTTTCTCCGATGTCTCTGCTTCAAAATGGAACCCTGCAAATGCACTCTCTCAATTTCTCCAGCAAAGGGGACTATAAATGTATCGCAAGCAATGCAGCAGGTGCTGATACAATCACTTATCATCTCCATGTGGCCGCTCTGCCGCCTAGCATCAGTGAAGGAGCAATGGATACTGTGATCATTCAGCCAGGTATAGTACAGAACTTTAACATCCCTTAACTTCCCATTACAGAAAGTTTGTCTCATGATGTGGCTGTTACTAAAAGACAATCAAAAGTTTGTCATCTAAACTAAAAGAAATCACATTTAACCAGGCAGGAGTGTGTATGTTCACTGCTCTGTGAAGGGCGAACCGGTGCCTGCTCTGAAATGGACGCTCCCGGGAGGCGGCCATGTAAAACCGTCACAGTTTCTTGGACGCAGGCTGTTTGTCTTCCCCAATGGGACGCTGTATGTGAAGAATGTTTCACCAGCTGATGCTGGGAGGTGAGATGTTTTTTTTTTAGTCTATTCATGATTCAGTCTTTCTGGTCAAATGTCTGGTTGAATATGTGTACTGTTTCATAAGATATGGTTCCTGGTTGAATCCGAATGTGTTCTTAATCACCTAATCTATTCAAATAATCCTCTCAATTTAGGTCTGATTTATGGGAAGCTTTATGGGTTATGGTTAGCCCAATGCTTTGGTTTTTGACCAAATGGCATTCTCATCAACCTCACAAAGCTGCATTATTGTAATTAGAACCTACCAAGTGTACATTTTTTACTTCTGACTTTGAATGCCATGCAGGAATACCTGAGGACAGTAGAAGTTTTGTTCACTGCATTTAAAGTCAGAAGTTGTGTACCGTTATACGAAGCCCAGTATTCCTGTCCCAAGCAATACAAATGAATAATTCAACTCAAAGTTATCAGGCCATTATTCTTCTCTGACTATTGCTCTGAGCTCACCAGGCTGCTGTCAATCCTCCCACAGGTATGAGTGTTTGACCACTAATGCTGTAGGTATGGCTAAAAGAACTGTCCAGCTGGAGGTGAGGGCAGATTCCCCCTCCTTCTCCCGCCAGCCTCCTCCTCCTCTCCCCATCCCTCCAATCCAACGCCATGGTGTGCCATCCCAACAGCACTCTGTCTCAGCTATGTACGGTTCTGCTGTGTACCTGCACTGTCCAGAGTCCACTGGATCCACAAGAGGGACCATCTGGCAGCTACCCTCCAAGACCATCATGGAACATCGATACAGGTTACTTACTTTTGTGAATCATCACAATACTGACCATCTTATAAATACATTAAAATATTTTAGTTTCCATTAAACTCCTCTCCTCCATCTGCCTGCAGTCCGGAGAGACCAATTAAAGTTTTCCGTAACGGGACTCTGAGGATACTTCAGCTGACAGAGCTGGATGGTGGAAATTATCTGTGTGTCTTTCAGCGGCCCAATGGGGAAGACATGGAGCTCTTCCAGGTATGAACAGGGCAGGCTTCAGCCAGGTTCATTTTGCTGCCACCTCTTTTCCATTAGCCTTTGTTTCTTTTTTTATTTTTTTCATTAAGAATCCCTTCCTTGTTAATGAGTGTCAAAGTCAAACTAAAAATGTCTAACATGTCAAGAATCAAAGATGTGGTCCGTCCTCAATTAAGAAATGGATGTTATTTCTATGTACTATATGTGCTGGCAAAAGCTGTAACAGTGTGTCATTCAATGATCAATACTCTACTCTCGCTGTATTTTCCATGTATTTTCTCATATTTATTCACATAATCATGTATTCACTTCAATCAGGTGGAGGTGTTAATGACCCCTCCCAGAATTGAACAAGTGAGGACTGCACAGACCAGGGTCACCTTTGGAGAAAATTTCCAGGTATTTTTGGGAGCTAGCTCAAACTTTATTTAAAGTAGGATAGACATTGTCGGGGACTTTTCCACATCACCTGTGTTTTCTAGTATACTATTTATTTTTCAACATTTTATGATTTTAGATGTAGAAATGCGTTTGATGTCATGAGAAGATATACGGGTCTCATTCCTCAAAGGCATCTTTAAGCAGTATTAATAGGAATTTTGTTTTTGGAAACTTAACAGAACAAGATTTAAACTCAATATTGACATATTAACACTTCATAATGTGTATATAGCAAAACTATTAGCAGATACAAAACATTATCATTCATTTGGAGTTTCTATCAATTCAATTCAATTTTTTTAATATAGCCCAAAATCACAAATCATAAATTTTCCTCAGAGGGCTTTACAATATGTACAACATACAACATCCTCTGTCCCAGGCCCCTCCTATCGGTACAGAGAAAAAACTCCCTAATAATGATAGACAAATTATGACTACTAATAATAACAGCAGCAGTGGATATAATAGAATAATAATGAAAATAAAAGCATAGATGGTATCAGTAATAGTAATAGAAATGTGACTAATAATAATAGTAATATTTGCAGTGTGTGTCAGGCAGGGCCACAGTAGGTGGCACGACCATGGTCCCACGGCAGTCTAGGCGTATAGCAGCATATCTAGGGGCTGGTCGGATGTAATCATTTATTAAGCACCCCTTTATTTAGAAATAAGCCAAGAATCATCCTTACAGTTAATTTTGTAATTCATCCACTCATTTTCCTTTGTTTCCTTTTTCAGGTGGATTGTGTTGCAACAGGCCTCCCTGATCCAGAAGTTACTTGGAGTCTCCCAGATGGAACTTTAATCAACAATGCCCTTCAATCGGACGATAGCGGCCTTCGCAACCGCCGCTATGTTATTTTTGGCAATGGGACTTTACTTCTCCAGCAAATGGGAAAAAGAGATGAGGGTGACTACACTTGCTTTGCCAAGAACAGACTTGGCAAGGATGAAAGAAAAGTTAGCGTCAAAGTGGGGCCGAACGCTCCGAAAATTACATTGAAATCACAATCACTGGTTACAGTAAAGTTAGGAGAATCAGCTAAGTTGAGCTGTCAGGCAACAGGTGAACCTACACCAAAAATCATGTGGATCTCACCCAGGAATGATGTGATATCTTTGTCATCAGACAAATTTCAGATCATGGATGATGGGATGTTGGTGGTTAAAAAAGTAATACTGGCCGACGAAGGGAAATACGCATGTGTGGCACGGAATTCTGCTGGTGATGATGTCAAAAACATGAAACTAGAAGCTGAACTCCAGGAACCCTTCATTAATGGCATGAAAGGAAGAAGCACGACAAAGGTTTTGGCTGTTTCTTACCAAACATCGCTCCTAAATTGCAAAGTGGAAGGGAAACCCGAACCAAGAGTCTGGTGGGTTACTCCTTATGGTCATTCCCTCCCAACACCCTACCTGGGCGGTCGCTTCCAAGTCCACCGGAACGGGAGCTTGGAGCTGAGAGGGGTGAGAAAAACAGATGAAGGGAGGTACATTTGTCTGGCCAAAAACAATCTGGGTGAAGCCTCACTTTTGGTTGAATTAGACGTGACATCAATAGCCGAGAAACCAAGTTTTACTGTTCCCAATATTGAAATCTTACCAATAAAGCAAGATGGTGGGGAATTGATTCTGGAGTGCTCCGCACGTGGCAAGCCGAACCCAGAGTTTGCATGGGTTCTACCCAATGGGACGATGTTAACACCTGGTGTTAGACTCCAACGCTTCACACATCATCTGGGTAACGGAACTCTAAAGATTTCTCAACCGGTTGCAAGTGATAAGGGAGTGTACCGGTGCCTTGCAAAAAATGTGGCAGGACAAGCAGAGAAACGTTATGCGCTGGAGTCGGGCAGAAAGCCAGTGATCAGAGGATCTACAGGTATGTTTTGTCATCTCAAATTAATAAAACAGAAGTCTCCTTAGTTTGAGTGGAATGGTTGGTAAACATATTTGTGTTTTCCCCTCAGTTTGGTTTCTTCAACACAGAGAAACATTTAAATGAACCAAAGTGCATCACTAAAAGTCACGTGAAAGCATTTAATCACCTCATTGATTCGATGTGTTGGGCGGGAGCCATATACTGTATAAAATATGCAGGTAGTCTCCGTGATGTCACCCATAGGTCCACTCTTGTCACCCTTTGCCATCTTGCAAGATGTTAAGGTTTGGCCTAAGTGACCTGACAGAGGATAGCTTGCAGCTGGGTGGGTACTGTACCAGGTACAGTACCCACCTGTGACTAAGCCCTCAATTATTCCCCCATACAGTTGTCATGAATGGGGATTTAGCTATAGAGACCAAAACCATGTTTTTGTACGATGCAGTAAACATGTTTATTTCTGCTGTAAAGTTGGCCATTTAACCATGGGGGTCTATGGGGACTGACTCACTGTTGGAGCCAGCCTCAAGAAGTCATTTGATGAACTGCATTTTTTAGCACATCCGGCTAAAAGTTGGCTTCATTTCTGAGCAAGAAGGTCCTGAAGAAGGTCTTTCTTCCCAGATTCCAGAACCACTCCCAAATTCTTTTGTGAATGGACCAAGACCACTTCCTCTAATGAGTCTTGGTGTGGTTGTTTTGATCCGCACGTAAGGATGATTTCTATGTTCAGATCTGCCCAAACGAATCGTACCGAGGGGGAAAACAAATTTAAAGTAAAAAAATCTATGGGAAATCTGGCCATATTTCTCACTTGTGATTTTTGTTGTATCAATAATTTTTGCAGGAAATTTACTTACTATTATAATTTTACTTTTCCAGGTGGTATGAAGATCACTTACGGACTTAATCTCAACTTGCCCTGCACAGTGGATGGCTGGCCGCAGGCGTCAATCACATGGACCCTACCTAATGGTCTTGTTTTGGACAAACCTCAAACCATTGGCCGGGTATTTTTTTTTGCCAATGGGACCCTCCAACTCAGGCAGGTCGCCACCTTCGACAAAGGAACATACATCTGTAAAGCCTCCAACTCTTTCGGCTCGTCAACACTATCCTACCCAGTTGCAGTCATGGTTTTCCCACCACGCATCACCAATACGCTGACCTCAATTACAAGGGTCCACCGGGGATCACCAGTGAAGTTAAATTGTGTTGCGACTGGTATTCCTAAACCGGATATTTCGTGGACGTTGCCTGGACGCACAACGCTGGTTCCACATAACCGGTTCACAGTGCAGGGAGGGATTCACATGACAGAGGAGGGCAGTCTGGTCATACAGAACCCCATGCTCATGAACTCTGGCATTTACAAATGCAACGCTAGAAACGCACTCGGCACAGACTTTAAATCTACTTACCTACAAGTGGTCTGAGTGACAGTTACAAGTATTTTATTGGGAAAATGTCACAGCAGAAGTAGGACCGGATTTTTCCGTCAGGATTTGAATATTCTGCATAGTAAAGATACTCTGGAGAGAGACTTAAACTGTCTGACTGGCAGCTTGGCTTGAGACACCTTGCAAAGCAGTTTCCACAGAACATTGATGTTTCAAATGTTTCAAATAACGTTCACCTTTTGTGATTTTTAACTGCATTTTTTTCTTTTTTATAGTGCAAATGTTGCAGAAGTCTACATTTTGGACCTTGAAGTGTATTTTCACTTTTCAAACAGCCATATTAACTCACTGCTCAAAGCTTTGCCTTTCTGGCCTTACCCTGTGTATTAGCGAATGACGTACTGTATGTATCAATGTCCTTTATTCGTGTTCATAGTGGTGGGAAATTAATAGCTCATAATATCTACTTCGTGAGCTCAGTTGAGCGACACCGAAACAAAACGAAGGGGAACTTACCAAAAAATATGTAAGTACATAATTTATAAAAAATAAAACATAAAGCTATTTATTGTTGTCAGTCAGCTGCATCATTTTTACTATGTTAAAGCTGCAATGGCTTGATAATTTAAATTGATTTGAAGCTTCCTTGAGGCTCAGCTGTTAAAACATGACTAATATGAGTGATTTCAATTGTTGCCCTATGCTTGGATGTAGCACACACATTTTTACATATGAAAGTGTGAAACCACAACATCGTTTGGCGTGTATGCATGCATCCAAATGTGTGTGTGTGTGTGTGTGTGTGCGTGTGTGTGTGGAAATGGTTGCTGTATTTCACTGTCGGTTTGCGTTCTCCAGAATGTGAATGTCCCACTGAGCCTTGCTTCCAGACAAACAGGTCTTTGACTGAGGAAGAAGGGAGCTTTGTCAGACACAAGCGTTGGGACGATTCAACACAGCCCGAGTGTGTGTGTGTGTGTGTGTCTCTTTGAGAGACCGTGTGTATGTCTGTGAGGAAGGGATTGTGTCTGTGTGTAAGGGATTGTTCCACACAGTGAGTGGCGTGCCTGTGTAAATGTATATGTGTGTTTGTGTGTGTGTGTGTGTGTGTGTGTGTGTGTGTGAGAGACATTGACTTAGAGAGGGATAACAGGGCAAGTGTTTGGTAATCTGCGTTTCTGTGTTTCAGTCTGATATCAACAGACAGGGAGTACACGTGTATTCTGTATCTGTAAGTGTGTGTGTGTGTGTGTGTGTGTGAGTGTTTTGTGTTGTTTTTTTGCAGTTGTTGTCAAAATGGAAGCAAAGCAGCTCTTAAACACGGCAGCACTTCGCACAACTCCATTTCATACGGTGAGTGACGTTAAATTCCTTTCGTGTTTCACCTCCAAAATTAGCTCTCCCATAATCAATATTCAACAGAATGGATGGAATCTGCACCACTGAATATAAGCTAATTTGTAATATGCCATTCAGATAGGAGCAAACATGCTAATAGTGAGATAATGCTACGGTTGTAATATTATTTTTAGCCATGCCAACGGGGTGGCTCTTGGGATTGCAATTTCATCAGGTTGATCAACAATGTTGGTCCAGACTGAAATATCTATTGGATGGATTGCCACAAAATTTGGTACAGATATTCATGGTCCCCAGAGGACGAATCTTAATTACGCTGGTGATTTTGAGGTTGACATTTTTGTTCTTCAGTCTAGACAACCATGGGTTGCAGTGAAGTTTGATGCAGACATTCATGCCCCTCTCATCTAGCGCCATCATCAGGACAAGTTCTATAGAGTACTGCAGGGATGATGTATTTTTGTTGGCCAGCCCCGGAAGTTGGCATCACACTAGTTCCTTCGACAAAACAGCCAATGGATTTTGAGATATGGCAGAAAATAAGCTCTGTGACAAATTTTCACAAATGAACTCCGTTTTTGTGATTTTTGAAGCGTGAATGCAATCGGAAGTAGTTAATAGCTAACGTTAGGATAAACCAACTACACCACAATCACATGAGCACAATTATTCGCAACAAGAACGTTCATTTGGATGGGAATTCCTGCTAAATGTGTTAACCTTTGCACCCAGGCATGCCTCCTGGTGACACTGCAATCCCCCTTGCATTACGGCCATGTTGGTTTATGGAATGTGATAATATGACCAGCTGATCACGTCACATGACTAGATCGTGTGAGAAAATCTGTTCCACTTTCTCTCTCTGTTAGAACCCCCACACTGATACAATCACCTTGTTTGTATGATCAGTGTTTCAGCTGCATTATATTTAGAAGTTCAGTCTTTTGGTGAAATATTTCAGTCTGTAATCGGACTCTTTTACTGGCGGGTGATTTTAAAGGTTTCAGGAATATCAGTTCACAACTGCAGATGCATCAGTTTGCACCAAAATGGAAAAAATAAACTTACAGTACTTTCCGCTATTGACACAAATGACTTTATGCAACTTAAAATGTGGTAATTAATAGTAGCCTTGTTGCGCTATAAAACACCATATCCTATGTCAACAGTATAAAAGTATTACTTTGTCTGTGGGTCTTAATAGCTATGTAGTGACATGTAGGTCTTCATGGTCTATTTGAATGATCTTGCTTCACTATAAGGGGACCATAGGGGACATGAGGAAGCATTCAGATGCTTTACTTCAGTAAAAGTACCAATGTTACATCTTAAAATAGATTTTATGACAACTAAAAGTCCTGCTTTCAAAATCTATTTTAGTGAACGTACAAAAGTATCAGTCGTAAAATAACACTTATATTACATTATTTGACTGTTGTAACTGGTTGAGGTTGTGGTGGTTGTGATATGACTGATGGGGCAGGAAAGAAGAGAAAACACACATTTGTATTCTTTTTTTGTGGGGGGAGTTTAATCTTTGTTTTGTTTTTCTTTGGTGGAACTGATCAGAACTGAAATACGACGAGGGGCCCCAACAACACGCTGCTTTTTTAAATAAGGGGCCATAAAGGTGGAAAGCTACAGGTTTAATCTTCAACAATGTGTTTTAGAAGCACATGTTTTTTATAGAAAATCTTAATCTGAAAAGCAACTACAGCTGTTAGGTGAATATAGTAAAGAGTACAGTATATCCTTCTAAACTAGTGGAATATAAGTAGAAAGTATAGCATACACTTTATATTTTACATTAGGCTCTCCTATTGTATCACTATAATGTTTTGATTTCATTTCTATGGGTAGTTTATTGTCCCGAATACCATATTTTTCCATCTGATATTAAAATATTTTTTGTGAAAAATTATAATAATAATCATACATTATTTTTCTTGTAGTATTCATGCCTCCTAGGCCCTCATTTCAATAGGAATGTTTAAGCTTATTCTAATAAAACCTCGTTAACAATGCTTCTCCCTTTAAGGCCACACTCCGCTGCTGAAGGAGAAGCATCGTTGCTATTGTTGCATCTCTGGTCTCCTCCTTCCTTCCTCCTCCTTTCCCCTCCCTTCACTCATCCATCCATCCGTCCACCCTCTCTCTGCTCTCCGCATACGCACACCGATTTTCGCATCGCCTCCTCCGGCACGATGACCAACGATTCCCCGGAGGAGACCCGAGTTCCGGGCGGCGGCGGCGGCGGCGGCAGAGGAGGAGGAGGTGGAAAAGGAAACACGCGGAGGAACCGAGCAGACGACAATGTCACCATGCTGACATCCTCCATGGATCTACAGAGAGCCAGCCGGAGCCGAGCCAGCAGCAGCAACGATGCCGCCCCGAGCATCACCTCCTCCCTGGAGCTGAGCATCCAGACGCGCATCTTTAAGATCATCGTCATCGGGGACTCGAACGTGGGGAAGACCTGCCTCACCTTCCGCTTCACCGGGGGGAGCTTCCCCGACAAGACCGAGGCCACCATCGGCGTGGATTTCCGGGAGAAGGCGGTGGAGATCCAAGGGGAGACTATCAAGGTAAAAAGCAACAGAGGGGCTGGATGTAGATCAGTGGTGTTTCCTCCCTCCCCCTCCTCCTCCTACTCTTTCTCTTCCTCCCTCCCCCTCCTCCTCTTTTCTTCTTGTCGATCAGCTGCCAGTGGATCCCACAGGGGCTAATCTTTCGTTTTATCCAAACAAAACAACACACTTCTCTTTATGGAATGTTTTTCCATTCAAAAATTTTGATTTTTTTTTTTACATGCTGGAGAAATGTAACACATGTTGACATGTGTAGCCCAGAGGAAGGAAACGAAACAATGAATGTCATTGGTTTGGCCCAGGGGAAGAAGCTATGTGAGGCTTACATATTTTATGGACAATGGATGTTGCCAGAGGAGACCTGTCAACCTGTATTTAGTCATGTGTTGCTTGGGAAAGAATGAAATTAATAAAAAACCTCAGATTAGCTGTTTTTCTTTGTGTTTATATGAGGCTAAACTGAATAGCTCTTGGTTATAGACTGTTGGTTGGACAACAAAAGCAACTTAGAGACGTCCACCTGGACTCAGGGAGACTGTGATGTGCAATTTTCACTTATTTTCAGACACGTTTTGGAAGTAATAGTGAAGCCATTGAGAAGATTGGCCAGCTGAATCAAGAATGAAAATAATTGATAGTTGCAGCAGTAATTCCAGGTATATCTTGTAGGGCACGTGTCCAGATAGCCTCAATTCATTCATTTTCAAAATTAAAAATAAAGGTGTAGTTATAAGCAGAGTTACAAAATCAACTATATCATATTGTCCTAAATTTGCTATAGCAATTTCCCCTTTTATACCTTTAAATAAAGTACAATCAGTAGGATTACAAATGTATAGCCCATAGGACTGTAATGGTATCCTGGTAATTATTTCAAATGTAATGATTTCTAACACTCTCAGAGATGCTTACTGGCCGACGTAACAAAATCAATTTAAGTGCAACAGTATGATAACAAGCTTGTTGCAGTATCATGACAAATTAGATGAGTGAAGATTTTAGTTTTCATATAGATGAGCCGCGACTACTTATTAGGCTCTTTATTGAGATCTCTTACTCTGTTGTGTAATACAGGCCCACACACCTCACCCCCTCCTCACTTAGCCGGTGTGTGTGTGTGTGTTCTCCCTTCCCCCCCTTTCAGTCTCAGTAGAACAGTCTGTCTGCAACCTCCAGATGCCCCCTGAATGCTGACTCACAAACACTCTGTACACTGCACCTATTAGGTCAGCGTGTCCGAATCATTGAAATTCTCTTCAAAATGAATTGTGAGAAAATGTCTTTTCATATGTAAACGTACCTAAACTTTTAAAACTGCATTTTTTTATTACGTTCTGGTGTTGCTGGCGAGGCGACGTCGGTAACACTTTTGAGTAAAGGATTTATTTTATTGATTTGTGTCAACAATGGTGGTTGTGTTGTGAGAACTGAAAATTTACAAGCAGGCAGGTGTTTGAGATCCAGCAGAATACAGGATAGTTATCACCATAGCTGAGACTGGAAGCAAAAAATCTTTTGTATTTATGTGTGTCATCCAGATGGTGATTTCATGGCCTTTACAGGGGACTCTTTCATTTTACATTGTTGGAGTAAAAACTTAACTGCCACATTGGTGCAGAAGGGCTTTTAAAAAGGTTATGAACCACCTCCATGGAAATTTCACTCACAATTTATGTAGAACAGTATAGTTATAGTATGGATATATAACTAGAAAAGTGCCCTCAGTCGAGTGCAGATCTCCGCCAGGTGTGTCTGCAGTGACCACTTGAGTGATAACGAATTTAACTAACCAAGCTGTCGGAGTTGCAGCAAGGTACAGCACGGCGTGTATTGGTAGTTCCGTTAGCTGTGAGCGATTAGCCAAACACACCACAATAAACCATCAAAATAAGCCGCGAGGTACGCAGCAGTGTGGGTATTGGTAGTTCCAAACACACCACTAACTGTTATCCCCCCCGCTGTGTCTCTGGGTGCAGAGTGGTGGATGGGTGGTCGGAGATGCACTCAGCTGTGTTATCGCTAGTGGTCCTTACCGGGGTTAAGATTAGTAAGTGAGGAGTCAGCAGGTGCTTAGCGGCAATATAAAACAAGAAATAAAAGGTGTATTGACAAAGTGTGAGTCACTGCAGCTACGAATGGTCCTTGAGCATGAAGCCATAAGCCATTTGGGCACCCAAAATGTTATGCAGCATTATGCAGACAGAGTTGCACACTCACTCACCCACGGACTCACGCACACACGCCACAGATCGCATGATCTTCCTGGCAGAGATGATAAAAATGAATCTGTATAAAAGGGACACTTTTTCCTCTCCAGTCGTCAGGCAGGTGAATAAAAGTAGCACACAGATTGGCAACGACAAATGTTACAAGCTGCAGAGGACTAAAAATAGTAGAGCAGAGCGCTAAGTATAGAATACAGAGTAAGGTGTCAAAATCATGCTAATGATTCTCAAGTCTGAGATTCACAGCTATTGTTAGGCAGAATTCTGTCCACATGCAAACATTTTACAGTGATTTCGTCTCAATTGATCTCAATTTTGTATTTCTTAGCATTCATACTGGTTTTGAAATGCACACTTTCAAGTAGTTACCAAGCCAAAAGTATAAATAACAGAATATTGATTGCAACCGTTGGTTTCAAAGACATTTACGCTGACGAGAGGTATATCACATGTATAGAAAGCTTTACTATCAGATCTATTCTGTGCATTGTGCTGTCCAATTATGGGGCGCGCTGTGTTCAACAAAGCCCAAGCTTTGATGTTATGAGCTGCACTGAACGCAGCATTCAACATCTGATGCTAAATAGCCGGGGCTTGTCCTTTCAAATGGTAAGAACAGGAAACGGTCCTTTTCCCTACAGGCCTGGGCTGAGTGTTGGAAGATGTCTACGGTGATATACAAAGTGCTACTGATTGCACAGAGACATTCAGCAAGCTGACAATCCGAGCACGATATACTGCACGGTACACGTGAGCTAACTCGAGCCATGAATTATTTTTACTCTGTCTTCTGGCATGGCAGAATTTTATTTTTTAGGTGAAATCAATATCAGTACGTCTCTTGTGCAGAGAAAGCTCACTTCCTCTTCATCCCTCTGGTTAAATCTGAACCATCAAATACTGCAATTAGGAAATTACATGACTGTAAAGTAGCCCCACATGCTGCTTGCACAAGTGTACAATAACGACGGCAATGTATTTAGCCAGATTAATTGGCTCGTGAGTCATTGTAGGATCTGACTCACGACTATGAAGTAAACTGAGAAAAGGAAGTGAAAGTAATGCACTCAGGTATTTGACATTGTTGACCAGTTAGTGAATAGCACTCCAAACATTTGATAAAACCGGTTAGCCAGCCTTTACACATTGGTTTTAAACCAAATTGCACGTGTGTCTCCACTTTTAATTTTGGCATACGTCAAAGGCTGCATACAGCACAGAGAAGACCTGCCCTGAGGCCTTTGTAAATGCCCATCGTGTTATAAGCTCATGAGCTTGGAAAACTCATTGTTTCCAGGTCCATATTTTTATATTAAGGCTGTGTGTCTGGATTTTGTCACTCTGGATGCTTTGATATGACATGTTTATGGCTTGCCTGGGTATTCTGAACACACTAAAATGCATTTTCTTTCTCCTCAGTCACATTAACATCACAGCCTTGTCTCGTCTATCTCCACAGGTGCAGGTATGGGACACAGCGGGCCAGGAGCGTTTTCGTAAATCAATGGTGGAACACTACTACCGCAATGTCCACGCAGTTGTCTTTGTGTATGACGTCACCAAGATGGCTTCCTTCCGCAACCTACAGACGTGGATAGAGGTTGGCAACTGGCTCGATACATTGCACAACAACCAAATAGTCTTTGTCAGGATTGAAATGGTCGAAGGAGCACAACCGTGGTCTTTTTCACCAGTGCTGCCTAATGTTCTCTTGAGCATCATCAGCATCTCCGCAGCTTCCAGTGCTCCAACTGGTTCGTCCCCCAAGACTATTCATTAGCTGTGGGTTGAAACTGTGACGTCTCCATCGCAAAGCCTGGTGTGCATCTCTGTGCAAGCCAACAAAGAAGTGCACCGTGGCTTCCCTTAGAAAATGAATTATTCAAAGGGATTTACGTGGTCGGCTTGCCAAAGTACTCGCAATATTATAGATCCAAGACGCGACTGGCAGAAGGGCGGGACACAGAGAAAGAGTCGCAGTTACAAATCCGTGGGCTACCTCAGCACCACGGACAGCGCCATGGATTTATCAATACGCAGCACAGTTAAGCTACTTATATCTCAGAGCCATGGTCGGGGGCCACACCTTCTAACTCGCACAAACCTCAGTCAGATGAAGGATCAATGAGTCAGGCAGACTAGACTCCCGTAGTCTGACCCTGCACTCTCTTCTACTAGGAGATGGAGGGGGGGGGAGAGAAAAGCACAGGTGTTATTTATATCAATTATTAATAATACAACTTTACAGCTCCATTCCATTAAGTTTGGTCACTCTCTATATCCTGGTGCTGTGCACGAGGCTTACTATGGCTTATGACTTATGGCGTTTTAAACTGCGTCACCTGACTTCCTCTTTTGCTGCCATCATAAGTACTACGGCCACTAGAGGTTGAGGCCGTCCATGTGATTAGACGATAGCTGCCTTCTGGACATCAGTCCGTGTTGCAGACCCCTCTTAATTGAGACCTATTAAGAGTGATAATGCCCGATCCATCGGCTGATAACATTCAAAGCGGGTTATTAGATGTGGTTCTGTTAGCCTCCGCTTTAATCAAAAGCTAACCTGTGACTGAAGATAAACGCTACAGTGAGGCAGTGACATTTAAAAGACCGCAAATGGTGTCACCTTTATTGAAGACTCTTCCATCCATGATGGTGAATCTACACACTACCTCTCAGATGTTTAGTGTCACGATTGTGCGCTCAGCACGGCTAGCTGGTTTCCTCCTTTAAAGAGAACAGCAGTAGCTGGGCATGCAGTAACTCCGTGACAGTACAGATTACTAACACACACCACTAAGGTTAAGATGATTATGGACGGATATTTATTTTACCGTGTCTGCAATGTAGTTTGGATTTACAAAGAAATAGTGCCCATGCAAGTTCTATTAGTTGCAGAGGAGGTGTAACCAGCTGTAACTTGGAGATCTTCGTGCTTTATTCAGGCACTGGATCTGCAGCAAATATAAACACACTGTGCAGGCTTTATAGCTCCTTTTCAATTGGCTGAATTGATTCTATCGTGTTAGTAGACCTGCTGGGGTTTATTTATATTGAGCTGGTGGGAATGGTGGCTAAGCAGCCTTTCCGACATCGGCAGTTCTACTCGCCAAGTGGGGCATATTGTGGTCATAAGTTCCTTGTAAATACAGCTAAGAGGCTGACGGTAACGTTTTTTTTCTCCCACTTAGCTGCTTCTATTTATGGTCACACATCACATGAACATGGCCACAGTTCATAAAAGTTGATAAAGCCATATTCTGCTGTGTTCCAGGAGTGTAATGGCCATCGCGTCTCGGCGTCAGTACCTCGAGTCCTGGTTGGGAACAAGTGTGACCTTGTGGACCAAATACAGGTGAGAACGCGCTCAGCACAACACTTTATTTACCGTCCGAGACCGATTTAGGGTTTACTGCCAAACATTTGTGCCCTCCCAGGTGCCCTCCAATATGGCGTTGAAGTTCGCCGACTCCCACAACATGTTGCTGTTCGAGACGTCGGCCAAGGACCCGAGGGAGAGTCAGAACGTCGACTCCATCTTCATGTCGCTGGCGTGCCGCCTCAAGGCCCAGAAATCCCTGCTCCACAGGGACGTGGAGAGGGAAGACGGGAGGGTGCGGCTCACACAAGAGACTGAGACAAAGAGCAGTTGTCCTTGTTGAGGGGGGGGGGGGGGGGG